CCACAATACCAGCGGTGGTGCCTCATATTCGGCCTTAGTTTTTTTTGTTTTGGTTCATTTCTTATTTCAGTTTTATTTTGGATTCTGCTTTCTTTTGATTTTTCAGTTTATTTTAAATGTTTTAATTTAACGTTCTTTTTCCAGCTTTTTTTTATTTTGTAACGGATTTTTTGTAATTTTTGAAATTTTGAATTGTTGTGTGTCCGTCCGTTGGGATGTTTGACAGGCATGACTTTTCTCTGCTATGGCGCAGGGAACAGTAGTGAGGCAAGAACCCCACCCAGCCGACATGACTAGCCACAGTGCACCCCATTGTGTCATGCCGCCTGCACTCACTGCTGCTCCAATCGTATGCGTACCATAACAGATGGCGCCCAACGCGGTAGCCTGAGGTCTGGTCAGGTTGACTGGTCCTGACTGGCACATGAGGCTTCGCCATCCCGCAAGTCCCAGGGGGGCATGTGATTGTTGCCCCTTGCTGCGTTGCGGCGGGATGAGTGCAGCTGAGTGTGCTGGTTCGAATCGGTCCTCTTGGCCAGCAACTGAAGGCTTCTCCGAGACTTCACGTCACGTCCTCCGGAGTTTTGAATTCACCCGGTGAGGCAGTGCTAAACGCACTTAGTTTTTTTGTAGTTTGACCTTTTTTTTCCTCCGCTTTTGTCAGTGGTCCGATATGTCGGCATGGGAATTGGGGAAAGTTTGTCCGCTAAGTGGGGTTTAGTTTAAATAGTTTTGTAGTATTTTTTTTTTGCCGAATAATTTTTTTTGTGTTTGCTTTTTTTTCACGTACATACGTATCGCGATGGAGTGTGCTGGGACTCCAACCACGACTGACTATCGGGGTCTCAGTCATCCCACATGTCTCAGGGGGGCATGCGTTGACTGCCCCTTGCTGCATTGCGGTGGAGTGCACTGAGACCGAAAGATAGTTCAGCAACTTGTACGCGAAGTCCAGTACACCCTTCAAGTCTGGAGGGGCATTCCACTATGCCGGCTTTTCATTGCGGTTGGGTGTGCTGGACCAGACAGCGACTTTTGTCTTTGTTTGTTGTATCCGTACATTATTTTTCGTAGACTTGTGCCTTCTTAATGTTAGGGGAGGTCAGCATTCCCACTGACCTTTGAAAATACATATTTCCCATACTTAAAAATTATACCCAACTGAATTTATAAATACACGTATATTTAATTAACCACCATATATGCCTATTTACTAACTGCATACGCATATTTTGATTGATTTTTTTACCTTTTGCGTCTATTCATATTCAGTACGCGGACTGAATACATTTTGATAATTCGAATTTTTTTTGTCGCGATCGGGTTCGGTAACCGCGGCACTTGGCATAAACTCGTTTTTTTAATTTTATATATATATTTTTTTTTTCGGACGTTCTTTCGGCTTAAGCTAAGAAAGCAAGCCTAATTTAACTAAGCAAATTTTCCCGGATTTTCGGATTTTGGTTTGAGCTCTGGAAGAGCCAAATCTTCAGCACCTATTCTAGACTTAGAATTAGAACTTGTTTCGACCTCGAGCGTCACATTTCTTGATTTCCCAATTGCAGTTGATTTGCTGTATGGAAGAGCAGCAAAGGCTTACGCGCAGTAGCTCGGTGAGAGGTAGCGGCGTTAAGTCAAGAGGGGCCGGGAGAAATAACACTCCTGCTATGCCAGCAACTAATCCTCTGG